AATTTCATTCCATCTACCAGTAGGCTACTACCGTTCTAACCAGGTTGTTCATCTCCTACCAGGTCATATATACGCCCCTCATTCCGTCATAATTTCAGTCCATCGACTAGTAGGCTACTACCGTTCAAACCAGGTTGTTCATCTCCTACCAGGTCCTATATACGCCCCTTATTCCGTCATAATTTCAGTTCATCTACCAGTAGGCTACTACCGTTCAAACCAGGTTGTTCATCTCCTACCAGGTCATATATACGCCCCTCATTCCGTCATAATTTCAGTCCATCGACTAGTAGGCTACTACCGTTCTAACCAGGTTGTTCATCTCCTACCAGGTCCTATATACGCCCCTCATTCCGTCATAATTTCAGTCCATCTACCAGTAGGCTACTACTGTTCAAACCAGGTTGTTCATATCCTACCAGGCCCTTTATACGCCCCTCTTTCCGTCATAATTTCGTTCGAGTACGCACCAAGCGCTCGGTATCGACCTCTTCCTTTGTGCATCTACCTTGTACGAGAACAACTGAGTAGCTCTATGCTATCTGTCTCTACATATACCAGCGCCACAGTTGAATCAATACGAGACTTTTACCAGCCCTACTCGTATGGGACAGACCCCCCCAAGTCTAAACCCATTCGGCCGTATTCTCGGTCAGATACGCCTTGAGTTCGCGAAACGGACTGATCCTCTGCTCCCACGTCATGACCGCCCGTCCACTGGTAGAGGGCAGTACCCACATCAGCACATCCCTCAGGCCGTGCAGCTGCCAATCCCTACCTACACCCGCTGGGCCAAAGCCCCCGGACCATCCGGCTAAGAGTTTCTTGGCCACGATCTTAGAGACACAGCACAGTATCAGTGGAGCGACGTTGTTCGTACCGTTGAGCACCCGTGTGCATACATCCCGTCTGTGAATGGAAGGGTTAGCACATGAAGTGGAGGTGGGGGCCGAATGCCGTCTGGAGAAGACACGTACTGTAATTAAACGAACGCTAAGGCCGGTTGGGAAGGTGTGTTGCATGCATGCATGCGAAGAACGTCTGGATACTATGCTGGACAACTATATAGGAATCAGTGAGCAATTGTACGTGCTATCAGCTCTTACGGAAGTGGGTGTGTGTGATATAAACCATGGATGAGAAGGTACTTTACTGTGAGATATGATGGTGAGGGTGTGTGATACAAACCATGGATGAGAAGGTACTTTACTGTGATAGATATGGTAGTGAGGGTGTGTAATATAAACCACGGATGAGAAGGTACTTTACTGTGATAGATGTGATAGTAAGGGCGTATGATATGAATCATGGATGAGAAGGTACTTTACTGTGATAGTTACGATTATATTTGTAGCACACCCGAGAAAATTCATTTATAACGCACTAGCCAACTGACGGTACATAAACCAACCACGGCCAACAATGAGACATTTGAGTAAACACGTGAACTGTGTGAGCTCAACTCTATTGTGTTGAGATGCACCACTACCACGGCTAACTCATAAGTCCACGACACTCACTCTATGAACGTCAGATATGTACGCAAAGCGGTGCAAATATATACAGTGAATGAACAAAAACCTAGACATATACAAATATACAGACATAGACGAGAGATGGGAACGTTTGTTGATAACACACCCATATATACATTTGTATA